AGGCCTTCTTCGCCGGTCAGCAAACCGGCCCGGTCGCTCCATCAACCTACTACGCTCCTGCTCCGGTTGGCTATGGCGGGCCAACCGCTAGCAATGGCGTGACCGGCTACTCGGGCTACCCTGCGCCGGCTTCTTATGATCCGGCTCTGCTTGCTGCTCTTCATCAACAGCCTCCGACCGGGGCTTACTCCGGCGGTGGTGACTGGTTCATGGACACCGGTGCATCTTCGCACATGGCCGCTTACCCGGGTAACCTCTCCTCCGTGTCTCCTATTCACACTTCTTCTCGTATCATTGTCGGTAATGGTGCTGGTCTTCCTATCACTCATATTGGTTCCACAAGTTTTCCTTCCAACTCTAGGCCACTTTATCTCAATAATGTTCTTGTGTCTCCCGAGCTTATTCAGAATCTAGTTTGTGTTCGTAAACTTTCTCGTGATAACTCTGTAACTGTGGAATTTGACGAAGTTGGTTTTTCTGTTAAGGACGCCCTCACACGGATGGTTCTTCACCGTTGTGACAGTCCCGGCGATACATACTCCGTCCAGCCTCCATCATCTTCACCTGCTGGACCAGTTGCACTTTCCGCCGGCGTTGATCTCTGGCACGCACGTCTCGGTCATCCTAGCTCCATCGCTCTTCGTCATATTATTAGGGATTTTTCTTTTACATGTAATAAAACGGATGCGCACTCTTGTCACGCATGCCGTCTGGGCAAACATGTTCGCCTTCCCTTTAGTACTTCATCCACAGTTGCGTCGTTACCTTTTGAGTTAATCCATAGTGATGTTTGGACTTCTCCTGTTGCTAGTAACACTGGTTTTTTATATTATCTTGTTATCTTGGATGACTTTTCTCATTTTGTGTGGACCTTTCCATTACGTAAGAAGTCCGATGTTGCTGCCACTCTCACGGCTTTCTACTCTTATGTAGCCACACAATTCGGTCGTCCCATTCTAGCTTTGCAAACTGACAACGGGAAAGAATTCGACAACACTACCATCCGCAACCTTCTCTCCACACATGGCACTGTTTTCCGTCTTACCTGTCCATACACCTCACAGCAGAACGGTCGGGCCGAACGCATCCTTCGCACTCTCAACGACTGCGTCCGCACCCTCCTTTTCCATGCCTACATGCCACCCCGCTTCTGGCCTGACGCTCTCGCTACTGCCACTCTCCTCATAAACCTTCGTCCATGTCGTACCCGGTGGAACTTCACACCTCACCACCTTCTCTTCGGGTCTCCTCCTTCATACGACGGTCTTCGTATATTTGGTTGTCTCTGTTACCCTAGTATTGTCGCCACCACTCCTCATAAACTTGCTCCTCGTTCCCTTCCATGTGTCTTCCTTGGTTACCCGGCTAACACCAAAGGCTATAGATGCTATGACCCGGTTTCCCACCGTGTCATCACATCCCGGCATGTTTATTTCGACGAGTTGTCTTTCCCTTTTAAACAGGAACAGCATGAGGCTTCTTCCTCGGCGCCCGGTCCCTCCTTGGCCGACCCTATCCGCCCTGGTTTAACCACCCGGCGTAGGGCGCCCCCTGGACGTGCGGCGCTTTGGCTCCTGCCCGCCGCTTCATCAGCTGCGCCGGCCTCCGCGCCGGCCTCCCAGCCGGCCTCCGCGCCGGCATCCGAGCCGGCCTCCGCGCCGGCCTCTCCGGCTGCTTCATCGCCGGGCTTCGCGCCGGCCTCTGCGCCGGTCTCCCCGGCTTCGTCGACTTCACCGGCCACTGGGTCGGCTCGCTCGCCGGTGTCGTCATCCTCTGTCCCGGCTTCTTCACAGCCGGGCGCGTCGCCAGCATCTTCACCACCAGGCTCGGCGCCTTCTCCGGTAGCGGCTGCTGTGCCACCGCCTGCTGGCCCTGTCACGCGGTCACGGCTAGGCGTCCATCGGCCCAGCACTCGCTACCCACCGAACGTGTACACCTGCGTCGCTTCGACTTCTTCATCGCCATCACCCGTGCCGACCTCCGCCAGTTCCGCGCTTCGTGACCCCATGTGGTTCGCCGCGATGAAGGAGGAGTTTGATGCATTGCAACGCAATCACACCTGGCAGCTCGTCCCTCGTCCTCCTCAGGTCAACGTCATTACCGGGAAGTGGGTGTTCAAACACAAGTTTCATCCGGATGATACTCTCGACCGACACAAGGCTCGTTGGGTCGTTCGCGGTTTTCGTCAACGAGCAGGTGTTGATTTCACCGACACCTTCGCCCCGGTTGTCAAACCCGGCACGATTCGGACTGTTCTTCAGCTCGCGGTCTCTCGCTCATGGCCTGTGCACCAGATGGATATTTCAAATGCTTTTTTTCATGGTCACCTTGAGGAACAGGTGTTCTGTCAGCAGCCGACTGGATTTGTTGATGAGTCTTCTCCGGA